TACAGCCTTGGTATCATGCTAAGAGTGGTGAAAATTGTCCAAATCAGGTAAATTTAGTCTCAAATGACAAGAACTTGCGAAATGACTGAAAGCATTTAGAAGGGTTCTAATCTGAGTTTTGAGATGAAAATTAAAATTTTTGGATCATGATTAATCTGAGATCTATATAGAAATAGAATTTTCTGACGATCTAAAATAGAGAATCAACTGAAACTAAGGAAATCATGAGAGGCAAAGTTTCTCTTGCAGTATGAAAATTTTTCAACAAAGATATAAGTTGAAGTTCGTTACATCTCTTCCGAAAATCAACACTAGAGAAGGAAGGAGACAGATATAAACCTTTGGGTGTTTTTGGTCATCGAAATACATCATCTTGCTATAGCAATCGCGAAAGCATCAATGCTGTCTCGATGGCTGCGAACGACCTTTTACAAATAAAACTCCGTGGGCAACAAGGCTCCTTGAAGCTGACCTCAACATTTACTGGGCAACAAGGCTTCTGACCATAATCTCTTATGAATACACAGCGTTACTTCCAGTGGGCCATGCGCTGAGGAGGCACTTCTCATAATGTCAATTCTGGAGTCGAAATTCAATAGTATCACAACATTGGGCTCAAAAACATGAACAGTGATTTTATTACCAGCACTATTTACTGCCACAGGTGCAAATTCGCTTGCCAAATTGATCGAGAAAGCGAAATATAGTGCTTGATTGTCATAGAACTGCTGCAGCATAACTAGCGGTTAGTAACAAACCTGATTTTAGTCGGAAGTACCTTAGAGGAGGTGTCCAACTCAAGTTGCTGTTTTGACTTTTCGTCTAAATTCAGCAAATTTAGAACTTTGCCTTGGCTGTTCTAAAAGAAGCGCCCGCGCATCGACTCTGACCCTGTTAATACACATTAATATTGACTTCATGGGAGTTCGAGTATCTTTTGTAATTGCACAAAAGTGATGCGAATTGAGTATTGTAAAGAAAACGTAATTCTAGAAAGTCCTAATATACTGCTTATTGTGGTCTTATTAAGAGTTCATATTATGTCATACTCCCTTTCCTAAACACAAGTTGCTATTGGCTTCCGTTTCTTGATTTTAAGGATCTCTGCTTTCCAACATGACACCGATAGTATTCTTACAAATGAGTAGAACGCGCACAAGCATTCTGAAGTAACAGCTCAAGAGAGACAACATACCATGAATATGATTTTTTTTGGATGATGCAGAATAATCGCAGTACTCCTACTACCTTTCATTGAGGCAAAATTGATGTGATCTCCAGATTTGCTGTTTCAGGAACCCATACGACACAGAGTTTTCGCTTTCTCAATATTCAAAAGATGCATTTATTTTATTATATATGCAGACGAAGACGATTTTGGAAGTTTCACATGAATCTAATTTGGGGAGTTCAAAAATCTCACATACAATCACTGTACAAGAAAAATGTTCATCATAGGTCCTCATTAATTAGCTAACAGATATTCGGCGGACAATTCAACTTACCACTCGATTATTACTAGATTTATTGCAGAAGTCGTTCATTTTGACAATGACTTGGCTTTCCAAACATGGACTTCATTGGTTCTAGGAAGCGGAGCCTAGATTAGTACGTTCG